CATCAACTGCAAGATGCTATCCTATCAATATGGGCCAACATTTCTAAAGAATGCTTTCAGCACCTTGTTGAATCAATGCCACGTAGAATTAAGGGGGTCAAACACCGTATTAGTATGGTGTTCCTAATAATCCTTTAGGTGAGTGTACATGTAAATGCATGTGCAAACTTGTCTCAAATTGAAAATCTCACGCCAGGCAGCTGACCAAAGTTGGTAACCCTGGGTCCGTGCGACAAAGCAACTATGGGGACGTCTCAGAAGGGTACTGCTCTAGGAAAAGGGTTAGGATGTCTGCATAATTGGATCGGCAAGACTCCCACTCCATGTTTTCCTGAGTTTTGCTAACTTTATATTTGAGTGTGATAGTAAGCAATACGGGTGGCATGGTAGTGCAGTGGTAAGCACTGTTGCCTCACACCTCTGGGACCTGCATTCAAGTCTCTGTTAGGATTCCATGTTTTTGGAGGTTGCATGTTTTCTCCATGTCATCAAAAACATGCTGAGGCTAACTGGAATTGCCAAATTGTCTGTAGGTGTGCATGTGTGTGAGTGTGCCCTGTGATGGGTTGGCAACCCATCCTGGGTTGGTCCCTGCCTCGTGCCCATTGCTTCCGGGATAGGCTCCGGACCCCCCGCGACCCAGTAGGATAAGCGGGTTGGACAATGGATAGATGGATGGTAGTGCAGTGGTTAGCACTGTTGCCTCACACCTCTGGGACCTGCATTCAAGTCTCTGCTAGGATTCCATGTTTGTGGAGGTTGCATGTTTTCTCCATGTCATCAAAAACATGCTGAGGCTAACTGGAGTTGCCAAATTGTCTGTAGGTGTGCATGTGTGTGAGTGTGCCCTGTGATGGGTTGGCAACCCATCCTGGGTTGGTGCCTGCCTGGCACCCATAGGCTCTGGACCCCCTGCAACCATGAATAGGGTAAGTGGTTTCAGAAAATGGATGGATATTAAGCAAAACTCCACTTCATTATTAGTCCACACATATGATTCCCCTCTTCCTCAAGGCACCATCATTTGTAATGTAGCAGAACTGGTAATAAGGCTTCTGGTTGGTTAACATGGCTTTTTGGTTAGCTGTGGCCCTCTGACCTATGATGTTCCTGCCACGTCTCCTCACTTTATTCAGGTCAATTCCTGCCTCATCCACATACACAAAATTGTGTGGTGTCTCATTGGTCTCCAACTGAAGTATTCTCTGTATAATCCAAAAAGAGTGTTCACATTAGAAACATCTGAAATAGTCCAGCTTAGAAAATAGAGCAAACATCTCTATATCCTTACCTGTACATATAGGAGTCTTTTACTCTCTCACTGTTCCTCTCAAATGGAACCGTGTACAGCTGTTTTGTAGACATAGCATGTTTTTTCAGGATACTGTCCAGGAAAAGTGAATGGTGGGTGCAGAATCCATCCCGCTTTAGGGCTCCGAATCAACTGTTCAATAATATTGAACCTGGGGGGCGCTAGTGAGTTATGAGCGAGTGAAGACATCCCTTGGGATAGCTTGTCAAAATTACAGAGTTAAATAAGTTAGATGAGCAATGTGAAGATCTTGAGGAACGCTCCAGGAGGAATAATGTAAGAATTGCAGGAATGCCAGAAGGCACCGAGGGACACAAGATAACTGAGTTCGTTTTGCAACTTTTGGCGGAGACGCTACCTCTTGAGAAGAAGCCACTTATTGACCGAGCACATAGAGTGAATCGCCAACGCCTCGAAAAAAGTGATCCTCCTCGACCCATCATCTTGAGATTACACTACTACCATGTTCACGAGGAAATACTACGGAAAGCTGCAGAGAACAGGAACCTGATATATATGGGGTTTAAAATAAATATCTTCCCAAATCCTCTCCTGGAGCCGACACCTTATCGTGGTGGAGGGGTTTGCGTGTTCCAATGATCCGAGGAGCTAAGTTGCCCAGGGCTTTATGCCCCTGGTAGGGTCACCCAAGGCAAACAGGTCCTGGGTGAGGAACCAGATGAAGTGCGGCACACAAGACCTCTAATGATGAATAAAATAGTGGAACCACGGATTCCCTTGACCGGACGCGGGTCACCGGGGCCCCCCCCTGGAGCCAGGCCTGGGAGTGGGGCTTGATGGCGAGTGCCTGGTGGCCAGGCCTGTACTCATGGGGCCTGGTTGGGCACAGCCCAAACAAGGCACGTGGGTCCCCCCTCCAATGGGCTCACCACCTATAGGAGGGGCCATAGGGGTCGGGTGCAATGTGAGCTGGGCAGTGGCCAAAG